AGCATTGTTGTACAAATCTCCTGTTACGTTACGTTTTTTAATAGTGTTTAATTTTCTACGAGCTTTCCGGTAGCTTCTACGTAGTTCGGCTAATCTATCATTCCACCAATCACATCTACGAGTGTTAGTGATAGATCCGCGACCAATAGTTACATCAGCGCAGTATGTAAAAGTTTCTGATAGTATTTCTGCGCTTTCCTCAGCTGATAAACTACTGCGACTGAAGTCTTTGGTATGAGTTGCAAAGAGTGAACCAAACAAAGCCCAGTTCGCACCTTTAGTTTTATATCTAAAATTATAGGGAGCCCTTTGTGGATCCTGTGCAACCCTTGGTATGAATTCGTACACGATCAAGCGGTGATCACTACAGGATGCGTCCGGAAGGACACGCCATCCGGATATCGAGACGTCGCCGCGCGTAAGCGTCACGTCAATAGAAGACTCACCCATTGGGTTGCAAAAAGTTGGTGGTGCATCGGGGGTATTGTGAATAATAAGATTCATTTCCGCAATGAAATCTTCAACCGCACAACGTCGAACCGTGTCGGTTGAACGCAACTTGCCATACCATAATGAAGATGACGCATTGACATCAGCGCCAATGATAATTTTATGTCCCACGAGGAACTGCAAGACGTAACGTAAGTGATGTAAGTGAGGATCAATAGGATGTGAATATTGAAAATAGCAGCTCACTACGTAAACCTTACAGGTAGAGGATGAGATCTCAGCAACGGCGCAGTGTGACGTCATAAGATTACGCAAAGATGTTACCGTAAAATTAGAACTTGCAACATATATCCCAGCCTGCGAACGGCAGTCAAGCTGTACTACATTACGACGCAAGTGAGCGCTCTGATATTGTTCTTGTAAAAGGACAATGTCTAACTTTTGTTCTAAAATTAAACGGTCTAATTCTGATGTAGCTATTTTATCGTTATGAAGATTTAACTGGCCTATCGAAATATTATTCATTACTTAGTAAGTTACTCTTTAAACTTTTTTTTTTTTTTTTTTTTTTTTTTAATACTAAGTTAAACTATTCAGTAATTGGTATTTAATATTAGCTGTTCCAGTTTTAATTTGTATGTGGCACAGTCGTATGAGCCGCATCGATGGTTAGATGGTTTTTTGAACCGCTTACACTGTGCGCACGTGGGCTTAAAATCTGGTGTGTCTTTATCTGGACAAGCTCGCGTTTCGTGTGCGGCGGCGCAATTAGCACAAGTAGGGGTTTTAATGGTGCAAAACTTTTGTACATGACCGAATTGCTGACAATTTAAGCAACGAACTACTTCTATATCGTCTATGAATCTACATGTGGCCCAGTCTATATAAAGTTTATCTTTTGTGTTGGCTAGATGTTTCCGAACTGCTGCCTCTAACTCTAAGCCTATCCATTGACGCCCATTTTCTAGTTTACGATGCCTAACAATTTTGGTTGACTTAATAAAATCGTTCTCACTTAATTTTAATTCGTCCTTGATATTCTGACGGTATAAGGCTGTTAGGAAGGCACGATCTTCCATAGAACCGGGTACGTCTTTTACAATTATACGGGGCCTACGGCCTTTCGGTTTTTCTAAGCGCAACCCTACTGATTTAATGGCGTCCACAGATTCCAGTTTCTTAAGCTGCCGTTCGTTAGCTACACGTAACACGACGCCTGCCTTAGAGGTTTTTTTAACGCCTACAATTTGAAATCCCTCATCGCTCGGTTTAATAGCCTTCATGAGAGCTTGTTTTGTTGCTGACGAGGTCGCATAGTCCGCTAAGCGTTCCGTAGTGGGATAGGCAATAACACAAGGCCTAGGAACGCGCGCTTCAGTAGGTACCGGGCACGGAGCAGATTTAGGTGGTAATCGAAGCTTAAGTTTGTCCGCGTACGTTAAACTCGTTTGTTGAGTTGCGATACCCTCCATTTGTCGCTCAAAATTCGCTAACTTCGTTTCGTTGCTAGAGGATTTTATTGCTAACAAAGATTGTTATTGTATTGTAAATTAATCTGTGGAGATGTTATTGTCTTTAATATTTTTAGTTGCAATCTGTATATAATATTTATGTAGGTCTTGTAAGTTCGCCCATAGCTGGTGAGTCCATACTGAATATGAGACTCGGCTAGGGAGTTATAGAGTAACAATTTAACACGATAAGGAATACGACGATTTAAGATCTTAATGTTTGCCAGAAAACATCTTAGCTTATCACATACCTTATCGATATGGGGTTTCCAGTTTAGTTTGTCGTCAATGATGAGGCCCAGATATGCATGAGATGTTACAAGTTCAATGATTGGACAACAACAACCACCACTATTGGAGCCATGTAAGTATGTCAGTGATGTACTGCCAAATGATTTTGGGGTGCCGCAAGGCAGCATTATGGGTCCAACTCTCTTTCTCTGCTACATCAACGAGCTCAGTAATTTAAAAATTAAAAATTGCCGTATATCAACATATGCAGATGATACTGCTCTTACGTTTTTCGCTGATTCTTGGAGTGAACTTTTTGAAATTGCTCAAATTGGATTTAACACTGTGTGTCACTGGCTATTATCAAACTCACTTACCCTTAATGAAAGTAAAACTAAATACATTAACTTCTCAATACAAAACACAATCGATATAACAACCCACAACCACAATATTTTTGCACATAAATGTAACTTCCCACCAATAGCTACTTGCAACTGTCCCATCATTGAACGCACTCAATGCCTAAAATACCTTGGAATCGAAATAGACGCTAACTTAACCTTTGCAACCCACATTCGTACTTTATCACAAAGGATACACAAACTAGTTTACATCTTTAAAGAGCTGCGGGATGTAGCAGAGAGACAAACCATAAGGATGGTTTACAACGCCATGGTGCAATCCATTTTGAGCTTTTGTATTACTGCTTGGGGAGGTGCTTGTAAATCCAATATGTTAATCATAGAAAGAGCTCAGAGGATGATATTAAAGGTGAGTACATTTAAACCTCGTTTATTCCCTACTACTAAACTTTACGAAGAAACTAATATATTGACTGTACGACAACTATATATACTGCTAACCGTCCTTCACAAACATTCGAATTTGTCTCCAGATAGAACAAACCGTGTAGTCCAATCGCGCAGAAATTATGCAATATGTGAGCCGATACGAACTTATACTACCTTCGCACAAAGATTTTATATGTTCCGTGGATCTAAGTTGTTCAATAAAATAAATAAATTAATACCCATAGTAAACTGTACAAAGATAGAATGCAAAACCAAAATACAAAAGCTACTTCTCAATCTTAACTATTTAGAAACAGAAAAGTTGCTAGAGATAGTGGCGTAGTCAGTCTTAAACTTAATAATTGTATACACATATATATATGTAACACACACACATACACTCACACACGCACACGCACACACACACACACGCACACACACACACACACACACGCACACACACACACACACACACGCGCGCGCGCACACACGCATGCATGCATAAATATCCACGCTCAAAAACAGCATTGATAATATTACTGTGAATTCATTTTGGGGGGCCTGGAGCTCTAAAATACAGGCCTAGGCTTAGTTTGGACTCCAGATCTCCCACAAATTACCAATTAAGCTAAATAATTGTCAACTTAAATATTAAGATTTGTGTAATTTGTGGAGATAAAATAAATAAATTAAAAAAAAAAAAAAATGTTAACAATAATATTAAGTGTCTATATCTCATTTAGAGTATCTCTAAAGTTAATAATTATTGAGAAAATGCAATAATCAAGATGATATAATCTATTACATTAAAAGGCATTTTCTCAAAAATGATTAACTTTAGACGAAAAATGAAAGAGATAAATTTTACTCTATATAAAACAAAGAACCGAAAGACACCTTTTAATTACTTTACCTAATTTAGCAACATTTTTAATTTAACACTAAAAATTATAAACCCACTAATAGATTCCCTGTCGTACTAACAACAAAAAGAGCCTCTAGCACTTTCCCTCTAAACTTAATAATTGTTTACAAAAGCACAACACTTTCACTGGACACTTTTCTTCAATCTTCAACATTGCAATCAGATAGATATATGCGTCCCTCCTATACGTGTATATCCATGATGGTGATGGAGAAACAGCTACCATCTCCTGCATCTACTTGCCCCTGTCCCTAGATATAATGAATATTGAAATACGAAGCAGCAGCTATGAACACATCTCACCGCAGATATATCTGGGGCATAATCCATCTGTAGACTACTGTGTCCATATATAGAACCTGCAACATAATCCAAAACGTTAGAAACTGTACAATACATCTTTTACACCTTACAAGTATCGCGAAATAGAATGTCTTAGCCTTATTCATATGAAAAGACCAGTCGCAAAGTTAAAATCCGGATACGAAAGTTGACTCTTGAATAAATAGCTCCTGCCATGTTGTTCTCTGCACCTGCAAAATACAAGATGTTATAATTGTTTGTATATTATATATACTAGATATCACATTCGGAATTAGGAGGAACGCTTTGATTATATGTTCATCCACGATGTCGGTTGTAATATTCTGAAAGAACTATTTTAATTGTTAGTGTGAGACGGGCCCCAGCCTCGCCCGTCTCTGTGAGGTTCATCCCTGCAGTACCTGCACTTAGCCCCTCCAACGCTTTCTTACATTTCTTAAAACGAATGAAAAAAAACAATTACAGACAAAGAATAAGAAGTTAAATATAAAAAAAAAAACAGAATTAAACTATAAGCGAAATGTGAAACAATTTAACAAATATTAATAATTAATATAATAAACAATTTAAAAGCTACATTTAAACTGGAAATAAATGTAAAAGAGCCTTGTGAAAAGAGAATACACATTAACCACTATGATTTGGAAATAAAATTGAATTTTAGTAAATAAAAAAAAAATGTGTATTCTTTTATTTAGTTAAAATATAAAAGAATATATGAATGTATACGTTAAATATTATCTACTACGAATTAAATACTATCCTTTAACTTATGCTGGCAAAGAGATCCAAGTCCTCGTCAGGGTCATCTTGCGCGTCGTCGTTGACCAATTTTTCATTGTCGACATAGTGCAGGGCGTTGAGGTTGGTTTCGTTGCGCTCGTAGTCCTGTTCCTCGGGTTGCTCCTCCTGCTGGTCCTCCCCTGCTAAAAAAGGTTAATAATAGTTAATAGCAATAGAAACAGATAATAGTTTAAGAAAATTGAGTCTATTGCTTTCAATTGTTATTTTTCATATAGACTTATATCAATCTTATCGCATTTTATGAAGTTCTAATGCAAATAATGATATTAAAAGTTAGATACCAGGGTCGTCCTCAGCGTCCTCGTCCTCAGCGTCCTCGTCCTCAGCGTCCTCGTTCTTTTCTTCGACGTTGGCAGGTGCCTATTGCTCTTGTCGGAAAGGATCGACATACTCATAATTGTCGTCCTGATGCGGCGGCTGTTCGACGACGATTGTAGGATTGGTCCTCGGCAGAAGAACACGAGCACGACGTTGCGGAGGCTGCTCTTCCAGCTCGTTTACAGCAGCTCTCTTCCTGCGAAAACCTTCCTTCGCATTCTTTATTGCCTTTGTCATGGCAGTAGAAAATTTGTCCAAGGTGGGCTTCTCCATAGCATCCTTGTTAAGATTCATAGCAGCTGTATAACAAAAAATAATAGTAATAATTATAATCGCATAACATGATATAAATTGCAATTAATAATATGATCGTACCTTCGCAAGCTTCGGCAAAACGCGTCGACTTGAGAGCCACCTTGACGCGGTTCTTCTTGGAGCCATGCCAACACAAATTCCGGAAGAGGTCGTTATCTAATTCGAAGCAACTTTTAAAATAAAAGTTTGCTTCGTCCTGCACATTCGCACCTCCAAGATATGCGAGATAGTTGACCTAAAGCAATTTTGTTCAAAATTAATTATCAGTATACAAGTTAATAATTATAGAAATACATATATACTCACGACATCGTCGAACAGCTCGTCGGTGGCATTATTAAATTCCAGCAGGTCTGCAATGGACTTGAAGGGGAAGCACGCAGGCCTGGCCCTAACCTTAGGGGAGTTTCTCCTCGTCATGTCCCTCAGCATTTTGAACATGGAACTAAAAAGCACGATTGATATAAAATTGACAATAAATAAATTGAAAAGTTGAACCAGAAATATCTACTCACTTTTGGACTTTTTCCATATTTTTCACCCTTTCGTCAATTGAGCTAAAATTAAACGTATAAATTAATGTAATATAGCTATACTTTATTTGAATTTAAATTAATCTACCCATCGATTATACCTTCCCAACGTCTCGAGGGCAGCAAGTCGGAAGCTTACGTTACTGCAATAATAAGAAATAAATAAATAAATTGATAATTAATACTTTTATAGCACTAAAAAATATATTACCTATTAGTTTCTTCGACGTCCACGACCATCCTTCTGTTTAGATCCCTAAAATGTAGAATAAATAAAATTCTCGTAAATATAAGTTTCTACTGCTGCTGAGAAATTAATAAATTAATTAATATATAAATTACTTTATCTTATCCTTCAATTCTTGGGTCTCCGATAACAGAAGGTTCAGTCGAGCTAATGGTCCAGGTTGCGCTGTAACATAACAGACGAATAAAGTAGCAACGTATCTCAATAATACAGAATAATGATTTGGTATGATAAAAACTCTTTTTATACCTGCATTTGGAGGAGCTGCAGTGTTTCTCCGAGGAAGTACAACTTCTGCGTTCCTCGGCATGGGCGGAAGCGTCCTCACCGTTTTCACAGCGGCAGCAGCTGCTGTAGGAAGTGCAACCTTTTTCGCAGGGGCTGCTACTGCCTTCCCCGGGAGAAGGATTTTCTGGCTCAAAGGCGCACCAGGCATCCCCTGCTTGGCAGGCATTGGCTGCGATTGTGCCGCAGGTAGTCTCAACTTCTTTTGCGAAGAAGAAGTAGCCTTCTGCGGCTGGTAGCCCCCCATCGACGACATTTTCCTCACCAAATTCTCCGTAGCATCATTCACAGAAGATGGTCCGCAGTTCTTTTTCATGTTGTTACTTATGTACAATAACAACGTAGTATTTGCCCTATTAATGGACTTTTTGAAAAAGTGAAAAAACGAAATGTGATTGGTTGCCTTAAAAATGGAGGCAAATTTGAACCAATAACAAGAAAAGTTAAACTACGGACTTTGTGGAGATAATTTTAATAACGACGAAACGTTCAGAACTACATTCTTTCGTCGTACCTTCCTTGGACCAGTACGGCATTAGAAAACATTTGCCCGCAACTTGATCTAACCTAACGTACATCAATTTTGGACTTGGAGCAGAACAAATATAAACACCAATATCAGATGAGCGACACGGAAGATTGAACAAATCGTCAATCTTTGTAAATCTATTTAAGACAAGATAGCAACTATTATCACGTTGTATAATATTTTTAATTGTCGCAATACAACCGTTTCGAAGAACAACGGCGCTATCCTGTCCAAGTATCGATAAATACAGCGATCCCGTAAGGACTCTACTATATCGACAATAATTGTTGTCATCGATTGGTGGAGTAGGACCTTTTAAATGTTTACCAATGTACTTGAGTCTGGATGGATCGACGGGTACTTTACTCTGCGTGTGGCAATTTTCAGCATTCCGATTAGCAATCTGTTGCAGATGCTGACTCGGTTTCCTGCACATTTTGCGGCAATACGTCATGTTATTTTCGTATGGAAATGCTGAAAACGTATCCAAGTGACCAAAAGATCTAACATCGTCGGGAAGATGTAAAAGGGCGTGAACATTATACGAAAGAAACTCTACGCCGTAAATGTCGGAAGCTGTCTCATTAAAAAGATTAATGCATTTTTCTGCGAAATCAATGGACTGTGGTGTGCATTGAGGATCTACTAAAATTCTGATTGCTGTGTGAAGTAGAAGAAAATGATTATATACAGCAGAGTTTACTAATCCATTAAAAATAATGGGACCACTGTTAAGAAGCAACTGTCTTTGCTCGGTGGCTTTAAACTTGCCATGCTTCTCAATAAGGATCGGCTTCCGAGCGAAATCTCTTGGACAGTACGTTTTTACTAATTCGAGGCGGCTATTCAGAGCTTGCAGATGACTCTTGTTTGAGATTTTTGATGATTTGACGAACCTACCATCTATTATGCCCATTATGCCTATATTGCCCATTTCCATAACGCCTAGGCACACCAAGTGCATGTAATCGAATACCGTACTGGAAACTACATTGAAACCGAGCGAAGCAAGTGGGCATTCAATGCAATTGTGGTGATCGGTATCGACCATTGAAGAATATTCATCCTCTGTACGAAGCCTGTGAGTCGTTCCTTTGTACACCATAACTCCAGCACGAATGTACTCCCCTCTCACCCAGCACCTTGAACAAGGAGCTCGAGAATTGTGGCCACGATGACCCAAGGAAAAAGAACGAGCAGGTGCATCTGCAACAAAGCACCTTAAACGGACGAAGACATTTCCGTTCTGAAAGTCCAGACTATTATCGAGCAATTCTTGCATCTCGTCTTTAAACGGCTGGAAGAAAAGTGATGCGCTGGATGGTTTTGTCGAACCCTTAAATATTCCAACAATGTATGGACTACTGTTCGGAATATTGGCCACTCTGATCTGACTGGGCCACATCAAGATTTTACTGACTTTGTCCAGAGAAGCCTCGTCAGTACTGAAATCAATTTCAAGAGGTGTAACGGGGTGCATGCTTGCAGGAGTCGATGAAAGACATTTTACAAGAGCATGTCGTACACCCAAATGGAGATACTCGCCTCCGGCAACGTCTACAATGGGAAGAGTAGAGTAAACGGGTGCCTTCATGATTGTTCTCGGATCGACGTGTATACTCGAGAAACAGCCATGACTTTTGATGACTTGCAAAACAGCTTTTATTTGCTTGTAATTTTTCTTCAAAATTTTCTAGGTTTTCGCTGGAACCATCAGAAGGGCAATCACTGTTCCTCGATCCAGCGTCAAAAGAACCATCTGGATCGATTCCGCTACCATCGAAATCTGCACTCTCGTCATTGCAAACACTAAACGAAGGAGAAGCTAGATTTTCATTGGAGCAATGAACATCATCAGAAGAAAACGAAGAAACAGTCAAACGATCAACATCAGCAAGGGAGTCGCAATGATCGGATGCTTCAACTGAAGCTTCTGCTAAATAATCATTACCAGCTCTTTTAAACAATTTTCTTCTGCGAGCTCTGTGATCAGCGGTGCAATCACTCAGAGGTTTCCTAGACCGTATACTTCCAAGCCTATACATAGTAATTTATCGCGATTATGGAGAAGCAGAGTATGATGAAATTTCAAATCTACCAGCCCTGTAATGAAAAAATAAATACAAGAATATTGCTACAACCAAAATATGTTGCTCTTAAAACATGATAAAATCCTTACACTGGACAAATGAGGTTGATATGGCCGAAAAAGTGTGCGGGTGTGTAACGTATTACGAAAGATGTTTCATAATAATCAATTAATTAGCAATCAAATCAAGATAAAGCTTGATCATTATTCTAATAATAGAGTTAAACTAAAAAAATAATATACGGCCAGCTTTGTTATGCTATTTAAAAGCTTCCACAAAATTGTACGTCTCTAGCAGAAAAATAATTTAAATAATAGGTATTATATGACAGGTTTTCGAACATAAACATTTTTAATTGAACATTTAAAATTTCTAATAGCAGGAATAGATTGCGTGTGCACTCACAACAATAACTGCATCTAGCACTTTCCCTTTAAACTTAATAATTGTTTATAAAATGGCATTTTTTAAATTTTATCTACTTAGAACAAAATTTATTTGCTGAGGACGAGGACGCTGAGGACGACCCTGGTATCTAACTTTTAATATCATTATTTGCATTAGAACTTCATAAAATGCGATAAGATTGATATAAGTCTATATGAAAAATAACAATTGAAAGCAATAGACTCAATTTTCTTAAACTATTATCTGTTTCTATTGCTATTAACTATTATTAACCTTTTTTAGCAGGGGAGGACCAGCAGGAGGAGCAACCCGAGGAACAGGACTACGAGCGCAACGAAACCAACCTCAACGCCCTGCACTATGTCGACAATGAAAAATTGGTCAACGACGACGCGCAAGATGACCCTGACTATTTTGACCTACCTATTTTACCTGATTTATATTTTAACTAACCGCTAGTATGCCCATGTAGACTAGTGGTCTACAAAAACGAAATCCTAAAGTGCCCGTGTAGACTAGCAGTCTACAAAAATAAAAACGGAAAGTGCCCGTGTAGACTAGTAGTCTACAAAAATAAAACCGTAAAGTGCCCGTGTAGACCGGTAGTCTACATGGCTCCTGCCACAGATTAATTAGTATTTGACAGTAATTGTATTGACATAATGCTCTTTAGTAATATTTTTTCTATAGTCTGATATATTATCTATGGTATTAATCTCAGTCGAGCATGCAAACACTAGTAAAAAAAAGAATTATACGTCATAAAACTTCTGTCATTTCATCAGTCTTCGAATCGTTCCGTGCAGTGACTGTGTTGGAATTTCTTTGTGATATTATTTTGTGTGTTGGTGAAATTTAAATGTGTGTTGGTGAAATTTAAATGAAAAGGATATTAAATGTATTATAAGGCAATGTTAATGTTATTTTTGTTTTGTTTAGTATGTAGAACAAAAAACATCTGGAAAACTAAGTTATGTTACTGAGAGCATGGGAACTGTTTCAGAAATGTTCATATTATTCAAAAGTGGTGTATGTTATCCCTATTGTTTTTGATTGTAATAAAAGAATATAAGACTACTTATATAGTTATACCTTATTTATATTCCTAACAATGATATTTGTGTACGATATGCCTTGTTAAGTCTTACATAAATTATGCCGCGTGGCGGCCGATAATGGTAAGGATTTAGAGGCCTGTAAATAAATAAATATGTATGGGAGAGTATATGGTTTTATTTCATAACATATTAACTACTATCTAAACAACATAATTAAACATTAAAAACCATAGGTCATCGCTTTCATTTTTGAACTATGAGCTTCGAAGTTCAACACGAGCTTAAAAAGACGTTATCTCAATTTCAACACAGTGTAACTCAACACCAGAGCCGTAATCTGTAAATAGAAAGATAACATTGTTTAGCTAATTTCATAGGCAACTAAATAAATATAACACTTGACACCCTTTCAATACAAACTTTAGTCACAAGAACCGATTAAGTGGAACACGGCGCGCGCGTCGATAACGCAAAAAACAGTGGGGCACTTTACGGGTGGTCGGTATTTGTGCCGGGGCAATCTAGACGGTCTCGCTCGCGAGTCGCGGGCACTCTGGACGCCGCGGGCGCCATGACAGGGGCATACGAGCGGCTAAATAAAAGAATACACATTTTTTTTTATTTACTAAAATTCAATTTTATTTCCAAATCATAGTGGTTAATGTGTATTCTCTTTTCACAAGGCTCTTTTACATTTATTTCCAGTTTAAATGTACTTTTAAATTGTTTACTATATTAATTATTAATATTTGTTAAATTGTTTAGTTTAATTCTGTTTTTTTTTTAAATATTTAACTTCTTATTCTTTGTCTGTAATTGTTTTTTTTCATTCGTTTTAAGAAATGTAAGAAAGCGTTGGAGGGGCTAAGTGCAGGTACTGCAGGGATGAGCCTCACAGAGACGGGCGAGGCTGGGGCCCGTCTCACACTAACAATTAAAATAGTTCTTTCAGAATATTACAACCGACATCGTGGATGAACATATAATCAAAGCGTTCCTCCTAATTCCGAATGTGATATCTAGTATATATAATATACAAACAATTATAAAGCCATCTTGTATTTTGCAGGTGCAGAGAACAACATGGCAGGAGCTATTTATTCAAGAGTCAACTTTCGTATCCGGATTTTAACTTTGCGACTGGTCTTTTCATATGAATAAGGCTAAGACATTCTATTTCGCGATACTTGTAAGGTGTAAAAGATGTATTGTACAGTTTCTAACGTTTTGTATTATGTTGCAGGTTCTATATATGGACACAGTAGTCTACAGATGGATTATGCCCCAGATATATCTGCGGTGAGATGTGTTCATAGCTGCTGCTTCGTATTTCAATATTCATTATATCTAGGGACAGGGGCAAGTAGATGCAGGAGATGGTAGCTGTTTCTCCATCACCATCATGGATATACACGTATAGGAGGGACGCATATATCTATCTGATTGCAATGTTGAAGATTGAAGAAAAGTGTCCAGTGAAAGTGTTGTGCTTTTGTAAACAATTATTAAGTTTAGAGGGAAAGTGCTAGAGGCTCTTTTTGTTGTTAGTACGACAGGGAATCTATTAGTGGGTTTATAATTTTTAGTGTTAAATTAAAAATGTTGCTAAATTAGGTAAAGTGATTAAAAGGTGTCTTTCGGTTCTTTGTTTTATATAGAGTAAAATTTATCTCTTTCATTTTTCGTCTAAAGTTAATCATTTTTGAGAAAATGCCTTTTAATGTAATATATTATATCATCTTGATTATTGCATTTTCTCAATAATTATTAACTTTAGAGATACTCTAAATGAGATATAGACACTTAATATTATTGTTAACATCATTTGATGCAAAACTTCCTGTATCGTCAATTTGACGGATACTAGCAAATTCCAATATATATATATATATATATATATGTATTAGTTTTCACTGATCTATATTATTAACGTATAATTTTCTATTATTTATATGATTTTTTTATTAATTGTTCTGTTCTTGCGTTTAATTATTAGAATGCGCGTTATTTGTAACAATTTCGTATTGTAATTTTGTACTGTAATTTGTTTAAATTTTTAATAAATATTATAATGAAAAATTATTGCAAACACAATGGTTTTATTTATATTTTATTATACCTACACCAAAAACGCAAAATGTTGGCAAAATGCAGTCCCAAAGGCTCTGCTGAATGCTGTCACAATGGCAACATGCCGTGCGAGCCGGAATTTCGGCGCAAATTAAAATGTTTTAAAAATGCTGGCGAAACGTTCGCATTTCATGACGGCATATATGCAGCGCGCGTGCTGACTTCGTGCTGGTCACAATGACGCCATTTACTGGTCCCGGAGCCGCGGCACCTGGACGTCTCGCATGGCCCATTCGTGCTGAGCACAATGTCGCCATTCTGCCAACAAATTGTTATCGGGGGTGTGCTAGCACGCTGTGAGCGCAATGTGTGATGACATGCGTGGGACATGCGTGGTTGCACTGTGACTAATTCCTGCCCCGCTCCCAGGACGGCACAGTGACGGCACGTGTGGAAAGCACGAGTGCTGTCCTTGTGCCGTCTCAGTGCTGAATCAATGTGCCACCCGAAATTATCAATGTGACAGCACTGTGCCGGCACATTGCGCTCACAGCGTGCTAGCACACCGTGCTCTCCACAGGCAGAAATTCACTAAATATTTCATTAATAATATATTTTGTAAATAATAAGAATAGTAATTGGAATAGATAAACTTTATTTTTTATGTATTATTTTTAAAATAATATTTTATTGATCGCAGACTGCGAAATTCGTCGTCCATAAGGCACTCAATTTCCATTTCTTCCTCGGTGTCGTCGCTTTCTTCTTCATTTTTTCCTTTATCAAAATTCGCTTCATCTTCTTCTACAGCATTATTTTCTTCATTTTCTTTATCCATATCTTGCATCTTGCATCATCCTCGAACTCAGCAACTCTCTCGATGTCATCCCCTGTTATTAGTTAATAATTATATAATTCAGCTTTTATGATAATTAATACAGTTGGGTAAACAAAACGAATACAGTGGCCAAGGAAAGGTTAGTTCCAAAAGTTAAAAATGTTTTGTTTTTAGGAACATAACAAATTAATTCTAAAATTATACTGGCCGATAGAGTCTGTATATAAACACACGCACACATACACACATATATACAACGTGTATAAATAGATATCACAAAAAATGAAATAACAGATAACACGGTTCAATATACGTCGGTTAAAATAAAAAAATAAAAAATTAGTACGAAAATACAGAAATGCAAATTTAGAACAAACTAAATACAATAAAATAATTTCCGAATTAGAACACCATTGATAACATGAGTCGGTGAACTGTACCTACACGGCAGCGTCGCAATGTCGGCGACATCAAAACGACGCCGCCGCCGGCGCCGCCGCCGCGACGAGCCGGCGAACTTTACATTCTTATTACCTACCTACCAATCACTTCACTTGCTTTTAAAAATCTATTTATAAAGAATGCGATTTTATTCACGTGTTTATTTCGGGAATGCTCGACTAGCTTCCGACCCAGCAGTACGCGTCACTCCTTGAAAAAGTAGGTACCTTGGTTGTCTCGTAATCTTTGTACCGCCTTTACAAAAATTCGGCAGTCTGTAGGACATACACGATTGACTCCATACGTGTCCGTAAAGCAAAAGATGCGTTTTGATAGAGTTTTCCATAAATTAACATCATAGCAGGATATTCCGCGGCTGTGAAGGTCACTCACGGCATTATGGATGTTGATATCGATAACCCAATAAAATTAAAAGACTGATAATGCACTCAGTTTCACAGTACACTACACAGAACCTAATAGTGACTTTTCAAAATAAAATTAGCAGGACTCCTTACATTACGAAGTCTTGCGCACACGATAACATTAATTGTTCACACCATTGCCGTGTATTATGACGAAAGCAATAAGACTAAACAATTATTACCACAAGAAAACTTCTCTAAACAAATATGTATCTCATAAACAACAACAATATTATTATTACGGTTATTTGTCGTGAGCGCATCTACAAGGATACGGAATAGCATAAGCTCGCCGGTGGCCAAGGGCCGACTGACTGTCCTTACTGGATGAACTAATTAAAAACGCGTGTTGCATCGTGATGACGTAATAATCAACATATTTCGTTCGATTCGGGTGTAGTAAAAGCGGCAACGTGTGATTACCGCGCCGTGTATACCTACAGCTGATCGCCGCCTGAGGTCAATGTATTATGACTGCATGTACACATGATGTTGCAATTTACGAAAACAAAAAAAAAATCCTGTTTCTAAACCACTGAATATTTTTTGTTCATATTTTGCAAATCGTCTAGAAATAAAGTGCAGAATATGATGTTAAAAGCTTTGCGTTAATATATGAAACAGACTGTATATACATATATATAAAAGGGAATAAAAATGAAGCATGTATAATTATTAGACCAACGGACAAAGCAAAATGCATCAAGAATAAAATATGTATGGCGGCAAAGGGTGTTTGTCGGGGCGGTTGCCTTCTCCCGAATACATATCGACGCCCCCCGCGAATAATCCGGTAATCGTAAAAGTGTAAATGTTCAGGAAAAATAAAAAAACATTTTTCCTTAATAACTCTATTAAACAACAAGTATCAACATTATTCGTGTAATTTGTTTTGTATACTGAACATTTGTAAAAAGTAATAATTAGGTTATTCGATTGTTTAACAGTAACGTACATTTTATTGTTTTGACTATTACTGTTTATTCAAATAGTTTACTTAAGTATTATTTGATAATTATTATAGTATATTTTATGAAATAAAGGACATTCTAGTAAATGAAACAACTTTGGTTAGTTTGACAAAACGCGATAGTTATTATTATCATAAAAAATAGACACTGCACTGAAGACACGACTATTACACATGATTACACAATCATGAAAATTATAATAAGGTCCTATTACAGTTGAAAATCTTAATCAGAATCCTCATCGTGACCTGATTCAGTATCACAAAAGCTCAAATTCCTATAAAATGGTTGATAATGGTGGGGAATTGCTTGGGAGTTACACAGGCTTAGGAGATCATAATACAAAGATTTTTGAATAGGAAGTGGCTTGTCATATGCTGGCTTTAATTCGATATTTTCAATTGTTTTGGACACCTGTTTCTGCCGACGCTGTCTACTTCTGCCTGCATCGTAATCCAATTCAATATAATCCTGATCAAACTCATATTTGAAAAGAAAACAGTTAGGTTTACTATATGACACACTAACCTCCATCACATCGAACCATCGTACTTTTTCTCCTGTTTTATCTTGAAGCCATCTTTTGGGTCCAACAAGTTCTTTTATGTTGAGGATTTCATATTGTTGCATTTCTTTTAGTATATATTTGTCTTCGGAGACTTTAGCGTTCATTATGATACTATATACTTAGTCCGGTGTGTACAAAACTTTGTTTTTCAGAGCTCTTTCAATACATGCGTGCATTAAGTCGGCATTCATTTTGGCTATTACCAACAAAAACCGATGGGTAATTTCAATTTGAAGAGTCATTGCAATGTAAAGATACAACGCAAAAATGTATTTGTATTTATTCTGGCCATAACAACCATCAGAGTAAAATATAATTTTGCGTATACCTTTTTCGTGTAAGGTCTTGACAAATTGAAACAAGCAACTCCCTATTTCGATGCACCCTTTTTTTCCAATTTGAGCTTGCCAAACGTAACAGAACCCTAGTTTGTTTAGAGCGTCAAAAACTGTAAAATTATTATTACGTTTGTAGTGGAAAATTGACAGTTCAGACTGTGGTACATTCAAAATAAGCCTGTGTAACTCCCAAGCAATTCCCCACCATTATCAACCATTTTATAGGAATTTAAGCTTTTGTGATACTGAATCAGGTCACGATGAGGATTCTGATTAAGATTTTCAATTGTAATAGGACCTTATTATAATTTTCATGATTGTGTAATCATGTGTAATAGTCGTGTCTTCAGTGCAGTGTCTATTTTTTATGATAATAATAACTATCGTGTTTTGTCAAACTAACCAAAGTTGTTTCATTTACTAGAATGTCCTTTATTTATAATAATCATCAAATAATACTTAAGTAAACTATTCGAATAAACAGTAATAGTCATAACAATAAAATGTTACATAAATAAGGTAGAAAACTATTTACCCGAATAATATCGTAAAGTAATTTTACTGTCAAATCATATTGATATTTTTTTCGTAAAGATCTAAAACCATATTATTCGTTTAAAATACATTTTAATGAATTTTTATGGAATATACGCGTAGTTTTTCATATCTTCGTAAATAAAGATAGAAAAATTCTGAAAAAAAATTACATGGTGTATTTTAACTTCTAGATGCCGAAAAACGCATAACATGGAAAACCCCATAATAGGTCATTACCGGATTATTCGCGGGGGGCGTCGATATTGTGTGGGTCGTGTGGTGTTTCTCGAGCAGAAAACAAAGTAGGTACAAACAAATAAACTTTAATAACAAGTAGGTAACTTAAAGGTTAAACAACGAGTCTTAAGGTAGTTCTTAGACTTGTTGTTTGCGCAGCGGTCGATCGGTGAGTGAGTCCCGCTCGGCCCGCGCGAACACTTATATAGACTCTGCCGAAGCGATGACGTTTCACCGCTTGCGCCTCGTTGTCAAATCAGCTCCTGTACTATTGACTGTTCCGACACGGCCATCCTACGGGACGCACGTCTCTGTGTGTGAGCTTAAGTATTTCGGTTTACCTAAAACCGAAATACTTAAGCTCTGCATGTGATATATTGCTATACATAGCCCAGTAACCTCCAGTTACTCATCCTTGTGCGAACCCCTCATGGGAACGCCGAGTCTCTCCAGGACTCCATGGTTTCCACTGAAACCCAACCTCCGCCAGAGTTGACTACATCAAGCAGATACCGATTTAAGTACTCTCCTCAATATCACAACTACTTTGTTCTACATCGATTTCGTCAGTTATGTCCTGGTTATCCGGCATTTTTCGCAACTTATCATGAGCGTATTTATAGGTACGGTTACAGTTAACGGCCTTGTATTTATTACGATCACCATCAAGAACTTCAAAGACTTCAAACGGTCCTTTAAATTTTGGTCCTTAAAACTTTGTCTGGTTTCGCTCCTCATTCATAATTAAAACAAAATCTCCTACCGAGAATTTATTTAGTTTTGCCGTTGTCTGATCAAATCTACGTTTTTCATAAAATGCTGCATTCTCGATATTACTTAATGCACCCTCTCTTAAGATATTTAAGTTAATTTCAGGTTCTACATCCTTCGCCGTCATCAAGGATAGAGGCCGCGCAACCTTACCAATTAATAATTCTAACGGACTAACTTTCGTCGTTCGGTTGACCGTGCAGTTAATTGCAAGCTGAACTTCGCCTAAGGAATCTTGCCATGTACGATCTTTTGTTTCTACCGTAGTTAACATTGACTTCAACATTGACATTATACGTTCGACCTGTCCATTTGCACGTGAAGAGCCTGTCGCGACTAAATGCAAATTAATGTTGCTAGAATCGCAAAACTCCTTAAAATCTTTACTCGCGAAACAACGTCCCTGATCCGCTATTATTCGAGTCGGAGCACCAAATAACGCTACACCATCCTTTACAGCTTTGATGCTACTTTTAGAATCGATATTGGTTGTGTGAAATAATAAGACGTACTTGGTGAACGCGTCGATAAGTACGAATACGTATTCTTTATGATCGCTTTTTCCGCTTAGTTTTTCCGTCGCGTCAACGTGAATAGTATGTCAAGGTGAGATTACTTTAGGTATCGGGTGTAATTGTGTTTGTGTTTTACCCGAGTGAGATTTTGCTACCTTACACGTAACACAATTGTCAATGAATTTCTTAACATAACGGGACATTCC